TGAACACTCAGTGATGACCTACTTGTCACAGTTCCCAAAAGCTAAATTGAAACCTGGAGCTCCTCTAAAGCCCAAGCTGAATCCAAAGAAAGCCAGAGCGTATGGAAGAGGTAAAAGCTGCTCTCGTTTGAGGCCTCGGTAGAGTTCCCTACATGTAGTGGCATATAAAGCTGTGAATGTGACATTCATCAAATGTTTACTGCAGGTGAATCCATCTCTGTTGGAAAGAACATATGAATGTCACATTCATGCTTTTATAAATCTATCCCATAGTGTTCTGGTACATCATTTCTTTCTTAAAATGATATTAAAGCTTCCATTTCTTAAAATTAAAATGATAAACATATACTTACCTGCTGTGTGTAATAGTTTTTCACAGAGCAGCCTCGATCCTCTCCCCTTCTCTGTCCCCCCCCGCTGGTGCTCCTGGCTCCCCCCCCCCCCCCCCCACCCAGTGACCCCATGGAAAACTGGTTTCCACGGGGACACTCATGCAGGTTTGCTCCGGAGCCTCCCTGTCTGCGTCTATTGACACTCACCCCCCCGCCCCCTCATTGCTGAATTTGATTGACTGGAGCAGGAGCCAATGGTTCTTGCTGCTATCAGTCTGACCATTGAGGAGGGACAGAGCCAGAAGAACTGCAGGTCTCAAGCACAGCCCTGGATCAACATCGGCCTCAGGTAAGTATAGGGGGGGTAAGGGAGGAGTCTGTGACACAGTGTGTTTTTTTTTTTTTTTTTTTTTTTTTTTTCGTTTTTTGGGTTTTTTTTTTACCGCAATGCATAGAATGCGTTAGGGTAAATAAACATTTGAGGCTTTAGAACCACTTTAAGCACATTGAGTTCTAGACTCCATTTCACACATTTACCCGTCTTAACTGCTCTATTGAGGGAGACCTGCTAACTCGAATTCAGGTTTGTAGGCACACTGAATCATAGGGGTGTGGAATTTTTGTAAAAGCAACCTTAAAATAAAATTGACTCCAAACCATCCCCATTTCTTTTTAGGATGTGTTGAAGTCAAAAATATATTTTCCAAGTAATTTTATATAATTTTTATCTGCTGCTGCTCTCTTGAAACTGACAAAGGCCTTACAGTCACTTTTCATTTGCTTGAGTGGGAGGGTCGATCTGTTGAAGACACACTGGGGAAAGCAACAAGCCAATCAAGTGAACGATTTACATTTCTGCAAGTGTTCTGTATTCAGACTATGCACAGACTGGCGGTAGTGTTTTTACATTTGCAGACACGGTTGGAAGCTATGGTAGCTTTTTTTTTTTTTTTTTTTGTTTTTTTTTTTTTTTTTTGTAAAATAGGTGCAAGTTTAAATAGAATACTGTTTTTCAGTATTAGTAAATCTTGATTGCATGCTTTCAGAAAGTGTGACTTGACTTAAAATGGCCATTGGCTTGGGCTGACGCATTTATGTTGTTTTATGTTATTTCATTAAGACTGAGCCAAAAGTGCCCTTAAATCTCTACTTTTGCTCACTTGCAGTTCAAAAGCACAAATATGGTGAAAATGTACAGGCAAAAAGCAGAGTTAAGACCATATACTAACTAAATGGATTCCTACCAAAAGATGAGAAGGCTACACCGCGATGACATCACTTACTTTCAATAAGCTTTATTCAGTCAATCAATATATGCTGTAGGTCTCCACCTAGGCACTGTTGTAACGCATTTCACCTTCCCAAGCTTAATTTGTAGAATAAAGCTTGTTGAAAGGAAGTGGCATCATCGGTGTGCAGTCTTCTTTTTATGGTACTAGGGCATGGACAAGCTCCATAATCTGCTCCATAATCCGATTCCTAATCTTATTTTCAGAAAGTGTAAAAGATAAATCTTGTTCACTGGTGGTAGCATCTCTGTTGGTTTCCATTTTATTTTTCTTATTAACAGCCCCCTATGTTCTTATAATATTTTCTTTGTGCTTTATTATTGCTAGAATTTGCAAACTGAGGTTAGAAACTTTTTATATGGCATGCTAAAGTTCTTAATGGGAAACGTGATTTTGTAGTTATGTGTTTTTTGATTTTCTCTTAAAATAACAATTATGTAATACTTTGCCAAATCCTTTTTTGAAAGTTATGAAGCCAGTAGCATTGTTTTATTTAGCCATTGATATATCCAATTAAGTACTTACTGGCAAATACAGCCCTTGCAGACTAGATTTATATGCTGCCCTGTCATTTCATGTATTATGTTCGTTTTGAGTAAACACGCAAATTATCATCTTACACTGGAGATCTTCATGATCACTCTAATCCAAAGGAGAAAGTTTTATCTTGCAAAGTCAGAGGTGTGGTGGCAGAACTGTGGAACATGTCATTAGCACACCCATTGCTGCTAAGCCCTAGTGAGAAAATATGAAAGGGAAGATTTTCATTTTGGTGACTAGGCTGCTGGTTATATTGGGTTATGTAAGGATCTATTTTTTCTAGGCTGCTGGTAATATTGGGTTTTGTAAGGAGCCATTTTACTATGTAGCCTTAAAGGACACCATTCTGCTGCATTCCAAGGTGCACAGCTACCATTTAACAATGATCTTGTGATTGCAAATAGTCTGCCCACAAAGCAGTCATAATCCATTGTTCATAAGAAATAATGGTGGCACACTGGGTGAGAAACTAGGATGGTCTGGTAGAAGCAGTCTGTTCTAGGTGCAGACAAACTGGGTGCATGTAATTAGAGAATACAAAAAGCACTCTAAAGATTGCCAAGAGGAATTTCATGATTGGCCACCAATGTAAGAGTGAACTTCTCCACTAACCAAAATTCTCCACTGACCACCAATAAGGGGCTGCTTGTCCACTGACCGCCAATATAAGGGGCTGCTTGTCCACTGACCGCCAATATAAGGGGCTGCTTGTCCACTGACCGCCAATATAAGGGGCTGCTTGTCCACTGACCGCCAATATAAGGGGCTGCTTGTCCACTGACCGCCAGTATGTGGGGCTGCTTGTCCACTGACCGCCAGTATGTGGGGCTGCTTGTCCACTGACCGCCAGTATGTGGGGCTGCTTGTCCACTGACCGCCAGTATGTGGGGCTGCTTGTCCACTGACCGCCAGTATGTGGGGCTGCTTGTCCACTGACCGCCAGTATGTGGGGCTGCTTGTCCACTGACCGCCAGTATGTGCTTGTCCACTGACCGCCAGTATGTGGGGCTGCTTGTCCACTGACCGCCAGTATGTGGGGCTGCTTGTCCACTGACCGCCAGTATGTGGGGCTGCTTGTCCACTGACCGCCAGTATGTGGGGCTGCTTGTCCACTGACCGCCAGTATGTGGGGCTGCTTGTCCACTGACCGCCAGTATGTGGGGCTGCTTGTCCACTGACCGCCAGTATGTGGGGCTGCTTGTCCACTGACCGCCAGTATGTGGGGCTGCTTGTCCACTGACCGCCAGTATGTGGGGCTGCTTGTCCACTGACCGCCAGTATGTGGGGCTGCTTGTCCACTGACCGCCAGTATGTGGGGCTGCTTGTCCACTGACCGCCAGACCGCCAGTATGTGGGGCTGCTTGTCCACTGACCGCCAGTATGTGGGGCTGCTTGTCCACTGACCGCCAGTATGTGGGGCTGCTTGTCCACTGACCGCCAGTATGTGGGGCTGCTTGTCCACTGACCGCCAGTATGTGGGGCTGCTTGTCCACTGACCGCCAGTATGTAAGCTTGGAGCCACTTCTGCTTGTCCACTGACCGCCAGTAATGGGAGCTGCTTGTCCACTGACCGCCAGTGTAAGGGAGCACTTCTCTAATGACCACCAGTATAAAGGGGTGCTTTTCTACTGACCACCAATGTGTAGGGTCACTCTTCTACTGATCACATACAGTATGTAAGAACCACTTTTCCACTGACTGCCACTGTTAAGGACCACTTTTCCCTGACCATCAGTGTAGAATTTACTTCCCCACTGGCCACCAATGTAATGGGCCAGGTCTCAATTTGCCAATGAAAGGGTCCACATCTCCATTGACCACCAATTTAAGGAGGCAGGTCTCAATTTGCCAATGAAAGGGTCCACATCTCCATTGACCACCAATTTAAGGAGGCAGGTCTCAATTTGCCAATGAAAGGGTCCACATCTCCATTGACCACCAATTTAAGGAGGCAGGTCTCAATTTGCCAATGAAAGGGTCCACATCTCCATTGACCACCAATTTAAGGAGGCAGGTCTCAATTTGCCAATGAAAGGGTCCACATCTCCATTGACCACCAATTTAAGGAGGCAGGTCTCAATTTGCCAATGAAAGGGTCCACATCTCCATTGACCACCAATTTAAGGAGGCAGGTCTCTATTGATCACTGTTTTTAATGGGATTTCAAACAAATCTGCTTCAGATGAGGGTAGAAAATGTTTCTTATGAACTTCTGTATGGTTTTAAAAAAAATAGTTTAATGACAGTATAAACCAGTATAAGAGGTGGTGTAACTTTTAAATAAAGTACATTTTTAGTTTTTACTGAAAAAAAACCAAAACATTGCCATTACTGTTTATACAATGTTCATTTTAAGCTTTTCCAGCACTTTTTCAGACTGGCACGAAGCGGGGGAGGCTTTACCTTCTCTAACACCTGAGCAGGGTTTCCAATAAAGTGGTGAGCAGGTAGAGCTTGGTAAATTTCTGGATTGTGGTGTTGGGCAGGAAACACAATAACTTTTTGGAAAGGTAGCTTTGTAAGGAAGCTTAACCTATACTGAAAGTGCTGGTGGTGTATAACAAGTGAAATGACATATGGAACCATACTGCTAGAAAATTCAGTCACTGTGCTTGTTCTCTTTAGAAAGGATCCACTGATTCAAAAATAATCCCAAAACAAAGCAGTATTAAGAACGTTTTGTGAAATGTATCATTTATTTCACATATTTCTAACTGCTCCATTGTTTGTGCATGTTTTGTGTCAAAGCAAAAAAGAGGAGCGTGCCAGAGATCCGTGACGTCCATAACCGAAGTGTTTTATATTTAATATTTTTACAGGTGTGGATCCAACTGGAAACATGGTGAAAAGACCAGCACCATTCACTGTGGAAACAATCAGTGCTGGACAAGGGGAGGTCCTTGTTTTTGTGGAGGACCCTGAAGGATTAAGAGAAGAGGTTGGTCTTGTAGGACTTCACATAGAAGTCTTGTAAGGAAAATGTCAAAGCAGCTATGTGGTGTCACTTTGTCATAATTTTCCAAAGTATATTCCAGATCACTCTGAACCACACTCAGATCACGCATTTGAAGTTCTACTTAGGAATTGCACCTTGTCCATAGTGAAACCGTGGCAGGCTTGTTTCTTTGTTCACATTGCTTGCTATGTCAGTGTTTTTACTATTTAATCGTACTTGTCAAGCATCATTATTGTTCACTGGATGGGAACCAGATGCAATACATTAATGGCATCTACTCCCAGAGAGGGATGCATTGAACGACAGATTGTTATAAGTGCCTATTAGGGAATTCAAAATAATATTTTATTTATAATATTTATTCTCCTTTCATCGTTTTTTTGTTTTTCAAATCTTAAAAATGCAAACGGCTAAGAATACAGTTAAAATATTTTTTGTGCACTAGAATAGTGGTTTACCTGTAATTCTGGTCCGTTTGTTTTATAATCCTGACTTCCCTGTCAGGCACTATACAACACCCCGACCATTTACTGCACTCGGAGCATTACGCCTTGGTTTGCACTGCACTCAAAGCAATACAGACTGTGGATAGTGAAGGGACAGCAAATCATCAGGGGTCTCTGTGCCCTCTTTTCATATTGGCAAGCTCTGTTTTTTTAGATGCACAACACTATAAAATTAATTAAAACCTGATTGGCTTACAGCGGTGCCTCTTCCGCTACCAATTTTTAATGCTGCTATACAAAGCACTACAGGAGTCTAGTAAAGACAGACTGAGGTACTATTTAAAGAGACCCTTTCACTGAAGGGGCGAGAGGAAAACTGCTGAAGATGTGAAGTGTGAGCACCAAGAGTTTCTGAAAGCACACTGTCACCAATGAATCTCAGGAAAAGCTTTGGCACTTGTTGACTGCATTGCCTGCTACTTTCTGACTTCTTTGCATTTCTGTCAGCCAGTAAGACTGCCCATCACTATGATGGGCCAATAGATATTCATGGGGGGTCCTCATACGGTATAAAATTTCTTCTCATAATATACTCCTCACAAGAAATTAAGTCATTCTCCCAACTACAAGAGAAATTTGAGTTGCTCTTTAAATTACTATTCCACTATTATCAACTTTGAATTGTACTTTGAGTGTAGCAGAGCATATAATAATTAAACACTTCTAACCCTTTTTGAACAACTTCTAAGAAGGCCAGATACCCCCAAACTTAGTTTCTGCTTACTATCCAACCCTTACTACTACTTCAAAGACCAGTTAACAGGCCCAACTTAAAGGATAACTAAACCCAAAAGCATGAATGCAAGATGTTGCAGCTCACAGTCATTAGAATTTTTTTTCTTTTTTTGTGCTAAAAGCATTTTCAGTAAATACAGAAAATACCTGTTGATCTTGCCCGGAATGCATTGTACATGTCTTTTATGTGAGCTGCACTGAACAAAATCTTCCTTTACAGCTACCTTCTATAAACGACCAGTAGCCCTGCCCCCCAATGTAATAACATTTAAGGGGTTCAAACATGTTTGTAGTCAATATCAGAAGAGCAGCCTAGGGAGACAACCTTCCATAGATACCATGGAGAACTGGCTTAGCCAATAATGCACAGGAAATGTGTGATGGAATACCAGTTGAAAGTTAAGCTAACAAAGCTTGAAAAATAAAAGTGCAGCCACCACATCGAGGATTAACAAACTGCAATATATTACATTTTTGTGTTTGGGTTTAGATGCACTTTAAGTGGTCTTCGCCATTGCTCCAAATTACTGTCCAAGACGGGTCAGAATTTGAAGACACATAAAAAAAGCTGTGATTTCCTAAAGAGTGATGAAACTGAAATTGTTCCTTTTTTGTGCCCATTATACAGTCAGGTCCATAAATATTGGGACATCGACACAATTCTAACATTTTTGGCTCTATACGCCACCACAATGGATTTGAAATGAAATGAACAAGATGTGCTTTAACTGCAGACTGTCAGCTTTAATTTGAGGGTATTTACATCCAAATCAGGTGAATGGTGTAGGAATTACAACAGTTTGCATATGTGCCTCCCACTTATTAAGGAACCAAAAGTAATGGGACAGAATAATAATCATAAATCAAACTTTCACTTTTTAATACTTGGTTGCAAATCCTTTGCAGTCAATTACAGCCTGAAGTCTGGAATGCATAGACATCACCAGACGCTGGGTTTCATTCCTGGTGATGCTCTGCCAGGCCTCTACTGCAACTGTCTTCAGTTCCTGCTTGTTCTTGGGGCATTTTCCCTTCAGTTTTTGTCTTCAGCAAGTGAAATGCTCAATCTGATTCAGGTCAGGTGATTGACTTGGCCATTGCATAACATTCCACTTTTTTTCCCTTAAACTCTTTGGCTGCTTTTGCAGTCTGCTTTGGGTCATTGTCCATCTGCACTGTGAAGCGGTGTCCAATGAGTTGTGAAGCCTTTGGCTGAATATGAGCAGATAATATTCCCGAAACACTTCACAATTCATCCTGCTGCTTCTGTCAGCAGTCACATCATCAATAAATACAAGAGAAGCAGTTCCATTGGCAGCCATACATGCCCACGCCATGACACTACCACCACCATGCTTCACTGATGAGGTGGTATGCTTAGGATCATGAGCAGTTCCTTCTCCATACTCTTCTCTTCCCATCACTCTGGTACAAGTTGATCTTGGTCTCATCTGTCCATAGGATGTTCCAGAACTGTGAAGGCTTTTTTAGATGTCGTTTGGCAAGCTCTAATCTGGCCTTCCTGTTTTTGAGGCTCACCAATGGTTTACATCTTGTGGTGAACCCTCTGTATTCACTCTGGTGAAGTCTTCTCTTGATTGTTGACTTTGACACACATACACCTACCTCCTGGAGAGTGTTCTTGATCTGGCCAACTGTTGTGAAGGGTGTTTTCTTCACCAGGGAAAAGAATTCTTCACTCATCCACCACAGTTGTTTTCCGTGGTCTTCCGCATCTTTTGGTGTTGCTGAGCTCACCGGTGCATTCCTTCTTTTTAAGAATGTTCCGAACAGTTGTTTTGGCCATGCCTAATGTTTTTGCTATCTCTCTGATGGGTTTGTTTTGTTTTTTCAGCCTAATGATGGCTTGCTTCACTGATAGTGACAGCTCTTTGGATCTCATCTTGAGAGTTGACAGCAACAGATTCCAAATGCAAATAGCACACTTGAAATTAACTCTGGACCTTTTATCTGCTCATTGTTATTGGGATAATGAGGGAATAACACACACCTGGCCAAGGAACAGCTGAGAAGCCAATTGTCCCATTACTTTTGGTCCCTTAAGTGGGAGGCACATATGCAAACTGTTGTAATTCCTACACCGTTCACCTGATTTGGATGTAAATACCCTCAAATTAAAGCTGACGGTCTGCAGTTAAAGCACATCTTGTTCGTTTCATTTCAAATCCATTGTGGTGGAGTATAGAGCCAAAAATGTTAGAATTGTGTCGATGTCCCAATATTTATGGACCTGACTGTACATTTATTTATTTATCGAGTTTTTATATAGCGCCAAAGGGTTTGCTCAGCGCTGTACAATAGAGGGGGGACAATACATGAAACAGAACAGTAACATCAAACAGTACACAAGGGGTAAGAGGGCCCTACTCTTTCGAGCTTACAATCTAGGAGGGAGGGGGTAGAGGCACAGGAGGAAACGGCTGTGGGGGATGGAGTGGTAGGAGGAGGGAAGGGCAGCGGCTGTTAGGTGAGGGTGGGGTAGGCTTCCCTGAAGAGGTGGGTTTTCAGGGAGCGCCTGAAGGTGAGGAGGGAAGGTGACAGTCTGATGGATTGGGGTAGTGAGTTCCAGAGGATGGGGGAGGACCTGGAGAAGTCTTGCAGTCGTGCGTGGGAGGAGGAGACCAGGGAGCAAGATAGGAGGTCCTGTGAAGAGCGAAGGGTACGGGTAGGGTGGTACCTGGGAATCAGGTCGGTGAGGTAGTTAGGGGCAGTGTTGTGAATGGCCTTATAGGTCAGGGTGAGCAATTTGAATTTAATGCGTTGGGCAATGGGGAGCCAGTGGAGGGAGAGGCAGAGGGGGGTGGCAGAGGTGGAGCTGCTGGTGAGGTGGATGAGTCTGGCCGCTGAGTTCAGGATGGTCTGAAGCGGGGAGAGCCTGCACTGGGGTAGGCCGGTGAGGAGGGAGTTGCAGTAGTCCAGGCGTGAGATAATCAGGGAGTGTACTAGTAGTTTAGTGGTGTCTGGGGTAAGGAAGGAGCGTATCTTGGAGATGTTCTGGAGGTGGAGCCTGCATGTGTTTGTGAGAGATTTGATATGAGGTTGAAAGGAAAGGTTTGAGTCCAGAATGACGCCAAGGACCTTGGCTTGCTGGGCGGGATTGATGGTGGTGTTGCTGGTAGTGATGGAAAGGATGGGGGGGGGGGGGGGGGGGGGGGCGCGGGCTGGGGGGAAGATGAGAAGCTCGGTTTTGGAGAGGTTGAGTTTGAGGAAATGGAGCGACATCCAGTCAGAGATGTCGTTTAGGAGGTGAGTGATGCGGGCGGAGAATGTGGGGGTGAGGTGAGGGGTGGATAGGTAGATTTGAGTATCATCAGCATAGAGGTGGTAATTGAAGCCGTGGGAGTGTATGAGTTTGCCAAGGGAGGAGGTGCAGATGGAGAAGAGAAGGGGTCCAAGGACAGAGCCCTGGGGGACCCCAACAGAGAGGGGGAGTGAGGAGGAGGTGGCACCGTTGTAGGAAACGCTGAAGGAGCGTTGGGATAGATAGGACAAGAACCAGGATAGAGCGGTGTCTCTGATGCCAAGGGAGAGTAGTTTATTAAGGAGGAGGGGGGTGGTCGACTGTGTCAAAGGCCGCGGAGAGGTCTAGGAGGGGGAGGACAGAGTAGTCTCCTTTGGCTTTGGCGGTTAGTAGATCGTTGGTGATTTTGAGGAGGTCAGTTTCTGTGGAGTGTAGGGGACGGAAGCCGGACTGTAGTGGGTCAAGGAGGTTGCTGTCAG